TCCACTAATAGTATGTTGTAGAATACTCCATACTGTGCAGTATATCCATTTTTATTCCAAGTCCTAATGAACATTTGTGTTTGAGCTTTTTGCTCTTGTTCTTGTCTCCCTCTCAGGCCATTCGCATGCTGATCATAGCATCAACAGATTTGCAGAAGGAGATTGTCGAGGGTGGGAGGGTGAGTCACACTGTTCCAACTTTGATTCCACAACGGACAGCTTTTCTTTCTCTGTTTCTCCCAACAGCTTTTGTTTCTGAAATTCGAGTGAGATTCTCTGTGTGGTTCAGAGAAACAGTTAACACTTCTGATGTTTGTCCTTGCTCAGGGCGCAGCCACCATCAAGGAGTTCTACGCCAGAAACTCTCGCTGGACTGAGGGACTCATCTCTGCTGCCAAGGCTGTGGGATGGGGCGCCACAGAGATGGTGTAGGTTCTCATTTATACATCCCACTTTATAGTCATAAATATATTTAAAGCTTTATTTAGCACCGGTCCAATTAACAAATTTACATCACTTGTTAGCTCCTAGTGTGGCCTTGGTCAAATTTTATTTATTATCACTGTAAAGTACAAATACTTTGATCATATATTTATAATAGAAATATTGGTTTGCCACCAAGTTCTGGAGATGTTTTGATAGCATCAAATCTAAATTTGGATACTTGTACTTTAGGTATAAACTTGTATATTGTATTTTAACAGCTTTATGCTACTAACCCTGTCTGGAAGTGATTATTGTGATCCTTGTTGTTTCCATGTAACTTCATAACCTAAAAAAATACACAAATAAAAAAAAAATCTACACAACAATTACTTCCTGTAAATGTCTCAAGAAGGAAGTCTTGCATATGGTACACATTGCAGTTTTACTTGTGGGACGTTCAAGTGTGAAATATTACCAAATTGCTGCAAAAAAACACTGGCTAGTGCTAAACTACAGGAAATCTTTGCTACTCTAAAAAACAGTACTTGCCAGTGGCAGCGCAGCACAACTGACAAATCCCGACATCTTACAAACATTTTTGTTACACAATGTAAGATGCATGTAAAAGGATGCAAGTATTCTTCCTGCTGACCTTAAACATTTACTATAATTGCTCCTTGACTTGAAAAGAACTTGGTAATGATGATTAAATCATTTTGAAATGTTCTGTGTAGCATCTTTATGTGTCACATCTTTTAATCTGCAGAGGTGGATTCATGTGGTTCATGTGTGTTTACTCACAGAGAGTCTGCTGATAAGGTGGTGCTGCACACTGGTAAATACGAGGAGCTGATTGTCTGCTCTCATGAGATCGCTGCCAGCACAGCACAGCTGGTTGCTGCCTCCAAGGTAATGCTCTCATTTCTCAGAGAATCACAACCGTAGAAACGTTTTACTGTAGAAACCTACCATGGTGAATTGTTAAAGTGTGAGTATCATTTTCCACATTTCTCTGAGCTGGAAGCACCATTGAAAACATTTCTGCGTGGACCACTGACGGGACTAAGTTGGTTTTGTGTTAACTCTCTCCTATTTGTGTCATCTTCGCTCAGGTTAAGGCGGACCGCAACAGTAAGAGGCTGACGGTTCTCCAGCAGGCGTCTCGTCAAGTGAACGAAATGGCAGCTAATGTGGTGGCGTCGACGAGGACGGGCCAGGAGAACCTGGAGGAGAAAGGTGAGTCCATGAGATATGTGCACTAAACCATTACACACACTATGAGTGGGAGTTTAATAATTGTGTTTTATTCACTTTTCATTTACAGACACCATGGACTTCTCTGGGTTGTCCCTCATCAAGCTGAGAAAAGAAGAAATGGAGTCACAGGTAAGAGCGTCATATTTTCAAATGCAAAAATGCTGTTAAAGTCTCCAGGTACACTAGAGAGACATTGGTGATTTTTGTATTTGTGTGATACATTTGTTGAAAGTTCAGGAAGATGTCATCTTCTATTTGAAGTGAGAATGATCTTGGTGTAAGTGTTACACTCCACTTACGTAACATACTCTGCTGCTCTTAGAGGGCAGGAACGATTGTTACGCTCTGTAAAACACCAGCAGAGCAGGAACAGGAGGACAAAATAACTCGCTGAGTCATGGTGATGTGAGTTCAGGAAGACATCACATGCCGTGCAAGTGTGCATGGCAAGCAGACTCACAGCGAACTTACTGTATGATGGAGGAGCAGGTAGCAGTAGCATGTGATTTGCTACAACTTCAGGATTAGTTTTTCCCACACGTATATGTCCTGTATAAAAAAATCCAAAATGGACGCTGTAAGTAAACTAATTGTAATTTAATACACTTTTAATATAGTTTTCTTCCATATCTATTGGATTCATGTGTTTTAGCTGTTGTTGGAACCCCCCCTTGATCCAACTGCACACAGCGTTAAATGATCATTAACTTAACAAAGAACTACCTAAACAACAGATTATTAGATTTTAGACTTTTAAGACCCACAGTAACTCTGTATTTAAAAAGTGCCCTGGTTTATTTCCAGAGTTTTTCTGTCGTCTGCATTGGCATTCTGAAATCAGTTGAATGAAATAAATAAAGCAGTATCAGTTTTGCCAGTAGATAACCGTCTTATTTAATTTTTCTCGCTGCTCAGGTGAAGGTACTGGAATTAGAGAGTCAGTTGGAGAACGAGCGGCTGCGTCTGGGCGAGTTGAGGAAGAAGCACTACGATCTAGCGGGAGTTCCTTTGGAGCAGGTTTCCGAGGGGAACGGCGTAACCTCCTCGCTGGCTCATCCTGCGTCCATGTCGCCGAAACCCAGCAAACCCTCTCTCATGAAGAAACCTGTGTTGGCCCAGAAACCCAACATCCCACCCAAAAGTCCAGTAAGAGCTGTGAAGTAAAGTCTGTGTTGTGTGTGTATAAGACATTCAGATGCGACTTGTTGGTAAATCTTAACTTTTTAAATTGTTCTTCTGTGTGTTGCAGTTTAAGTAAACAAGCGCTCCAAGACCAGATGTTTGGATTGACCCGAGAAAGATTGCCTTTTTGTGAACATGTGTTCTTTTAAGTTGCATGCTGACAATCCTCCTCCTCATCCTGCATCTTTACTTTTTATCTTTTCTTTTTCTTTTAATTTTTGTTTTTGCCAAAATGGACCTCTGATGCCAGTAAGGATTATGCTTACTTTACCCTCCCTTTTTTTAAATTATGCATACTCCTCCGGGCAGAAACCTTTTTACTTTACTATTTGGCATCAAGAACAAAAAAAAGCTTATTATTATACTGTAACACTGTGTGAAAGTATTTTTTTTCTGAATCACAAAAATTTTGGATGATTAAGCACTACTGCTTTTATAGTACAAACCTTGACAATGACCACAAATTGTTTTGATCATGCTTTGGACGACCTTTTTGCACACTGTTTTGGATGTTGGTTACAGAGCACATCACATTTTCTTTTTTTATTGTACACTCATATGCTATTTATGTTGAGGTGGCAAAGGACACTGGGGAAACATGTTGTGTGCGTCCACGTTCGTTGCAAAGGTGTCACATACCTCCGGCTTTGCCTTCATGATGGACAGTGCTCCTCTTATGTGCAAAACAGCTTTCTCCCTCGGCAGAACAAGATTGTCTCAGAGGCCTTGATATGTACGGCACTAAGTAATGAAACAATAAATGACGGTCTGAATAGAAGTGTGTGATCTGCACCTGGTGTAAGTTACACTATATCTACACTCAGCAATCTCTTGAATGTCCTTTTATTAGCAAAGAACCTGGATATTCTTTTAAAATTGCATAGATAGACTTGATTCTTGCGCACACACACACATCAGACGTAGTTGTCCCAGTAGTTATTTTAGGCTGAATATAAGTATTTAGGGTTAGTTAACAAAGGTGTTCATGTCCACTTTGCCTTTGGGAGCTTTTCTTACAGGGTCTTAAAAATGCATCTGTGTATGTTCTGTCCTTTTCCTCTGTACGAAATGTCTTTATACACTCAGATCTCTTAATATATTTTAGTAAAGATAACGGTGGTTTCTCCTTGTAAGAAGTGTAAATGTGACAGAAATTAACAATAAATGTTCGATTTAATGTTCCACTGTGTCATTTCATCTTGTTTTATTTTGGTCCAAGATTTTATCAGTGACGTATGATCACATGAAGTTTTTTGGTTGGATGAAACTTTTGTCCTGCTGGTAAGGTTAACAATATTACTTTTATTCACAGCTTATGATTACAACTGGTAAAATGACTGTGAAAAAAACATAATGTTAATAAAATAATGATATACAATTAAAATTTTGGGCAAAAATGTACTTTTATTATAGGCTGTCTTTACCGTGGGTACAGTAGGGTTGGGGTATTTTAAAAACTTGGGAATACACTACTATTATCATGAATATGAATATTTAAACACTGATGATAGCTTCCAGAAGAGTGGAATAGAGCCCTACATTGTTAGTTACATACAAAAAATGTACTGCTATTATTATTCGTAGAAGTAGCAGTAGTCATTTTACAGCAACTCTGTTTTATCTACCATCTACTATACTATTACTAAACTATAATATTAAAGTTAAAAAAAGCCAGTTAAATGAAATAAAAGTACAAGTCAAAAGTATTTCAACAAAGTTTATTACTAATTTTCACAATGAATGGAGGGTAATAATAGAATAAATGTTCTTTTCTCGTTAAATAAGGTTTGCATCCAAAAATTAAAAGCTTTTTAAAAAAGGCATCTTAAAATAAAGTGCTTCATTTTAGAAAAAATAGATAAAAAGGTGTAGTGAGTTTGAGTTTCCTCTTTTCTCTTAACTGCATTTCACATACGAACAATCGAAATAAATATTAACAACCAAACAGCTTTAACTTTTCTCTTTATTCCCAATTTCTCTTGTTCAGTGAGAGAAGTGAACTCTACCGTGTGCTGCCAGGATAGAAAAGCTGCGCAGGTTAAAATAAGACCACCGTAAGTTGCGCAGAAACAGTCCCTCAAAATCTAATAATAGGTCTGGGTCCATATTGCACTGTGTCTGGGTCCAGATCCAGACCGCGGTCCGAACATTGGTGACCTAAGCACTCCAGACTACTGTGACATTTTATGTTCGTGACATATACGAGTTTTTGCAGGGACAGTAAACGCAGCATCTGACTGGTAAAGTTTCATCTGTCAACAAAGTTGCCTTCACGGACTCACGGTTCGTGTAGCGTGTGTAAACGTGTTTTTCCACAGACAGGGAGTGTTGTCCGGGGACAGGGAGACATGTTGGAGGTGTAAAGCAGAGGACACACATGGAGACCTGCGGGATTATGTCCGCTCTGGACAGACCCGCCGCCGAGCTCACGGTCATGGACGTGTACGACATAGCGGCGGTGCTGGGACACGAGTTCGAGCGGATCATCGACAGGTTCGGCTGCGAGTCTCTGGTCCGGCTCGTGCCCAAAGTGGTTCGGGTGCTGGAGCAGCTGGAGGCGCTGGTGAGCCGAGGAGCCGCCGGACAGGAGGCCGAGGAGCTGAGGAGGGAGCTGGAGAGACTGAGGCAGGAGAGGAGCGACAAGTCCGAGCAGGAGAGGAGGCACCAGAAGGTCTGTGGTGTGTGTGTGGTGTGTGTGTGTCTGTGGTGTGTGTGTCTGTGTGTGCTCCTCTTACACAAAAAAACACTTTCTTTTTCTCCTGTGGCACCAGGCTGCAGACAGACACGTACGCACCTTTCTACCTTTCTGTTCCAAGGATTAACAGTTCACCTGTCACCTTCAGATCATACCTCTCTCACCAATGTAAACAGTCGGTGACCTGACTGCTTCAGGTCACACCAGCTTCCATGACGAGTGTCTTCATTCTAAAGGGCCTGGTGGAGCTGAGGCCTCCTCCTCAGGGTGTAAAATAAAGTGTGCATCTGCGCCTGGGTGCAGTGTGAGGTGCCTGCTGAGATTCCCTAAGTTATTGGAGACTGACAATGAGAGAACACCAGAGAATAACTGTGGATGGAATGAAGGGTAATGGTTTGATTATCAATAAGTCACCGCTCAGACCAGGTATCAACATCCATCCGGAGTGATCCAATCACAAGTGGTTGATGCTAAGCTACAGATCTGAATGCACCTGAATGCATCCTGAGATCTGGTCACTCAAACCACATTTGGAGGTGGTCTGGGATGCATGCGTTTTTTGCTGTGTGAACACAAATGCATCCTGGGCCATATATGCATATATACATTTGTGGGGCAGTTTAGGGTTCTGTCAACATTTAAACAGGAGGAGCCAGGGATCGAACCAATGACCTTCTCATGACTGGACCCACTTTACCTCATGAACCACAACTTCATACAAAATAATGTCAGGGTATACAAGCTCTGCTTTTTTTCTGCATGTGTTCAGGAGTTGGAGCTGGTGGAGGACGTGTGGAGAGGTGAAGTCCAGGACCTGCTCTCTCAGATCACTCGGCTTCAGGCAGAGAACAAGAGGCTGTTAGTGAGTCTCTCTCTCAAAGAGTCGCCCGTCACAGAGGAAGACCTGCACAAACAGGAGGGTAGGTCATCTGCAGCGATGATTCTCAACCAGGGTTTGACAAATTCATTATGACATTAATGTTTTCCTGAGGTTTCTTTCAAAATCTTCAGGAGGAACAAATTGTTTTCCTTTAAACTATAATTTTCCTATTATACATCGATAGGGATGCACTGATCTGATATGGAAGCTATAAGCTATAAGCATCGTCCATGATGTGACCAATCCACAGTAAGACAGTGTTTGGTTGGTTTTCAGCCAGGTATTAAAATGCACAGGAATTCACTCATGTCAATCAACAAAAAGTCCAGTGTGAAAAATATAAAGGCAACATAAAATCTAAAAGTTTACAAATACTTAATAAGATAGAAATAAGTATGATAATTATAATACCTACACAACATAACACATCATGATATGTAGTCTGTAGCTGTTGCTTTTTGAAGCCTTGCCCTGTGAGTTGTGTTTTTCTGAATCTTGTGATGACTAAAATAGTTTGGTCTTGGCTGAGATCTCATATGTTTTCCACATTTGCGAATGTTCCACTTATTTACCCTGGGCAGTCACACTGAGGTGTACAACATACAGTGGACATGCTGAATGCTTGTGTAGTGACATGAAAGAGGAGGCTGTGAAGAGAGGCAGGAGGAAAGGAGACTATTTTTGAAGCGGACAGAAATATAGCTCTTGTGTATGACCTGCACGGTGGCTGCAGCTTCACCTCCTCTCAGGGCCACGCTAAACATGTCGACATATAGCTTAGCTTTTAAAAGAATTCCCTGCAGGTCTCAAATTTGAAAGATTTTGTAATTTGAATAATAAACAATCATAATTGTAATCATCACAATATAATTACAAACTGCATAAAAACAACAGAGCTGTGAAAAACGGTTGAAATGTCAAGCAAGCATTGATCAAAGGGGTAAAAGACAAAAAGAAAATATAACATTATAAAAATAATCAAAGAGAATAGGGGTTACATGAATGGCATTGTATAAAAATAGGTTTAATAAGGAGACATGACAGAAGTAAATTCAAACCACAACTCTTTGCACTGTTGCTTGTGTACGTATTTTGTCAGTTCTTATTTTACTATACCTGCAGGAATGTCAGAAAAAGAAAGACATGGAAGGAAGAAGCTGCTAGACTTCGTGGATAAGCAGCGGGATGAAATCCGGGCGAAGGACCATGAGCTAACACTGAGAAATGAGGATGTTGACGCGGTGAGGTATTTTCCACCACATGCATCACAAATAATGGCTCCTGATAGGATATTAACTTTACAATGTTTTATCCTCGAACGGAAATTCCCTGAACTACAGCTCCAGATGCAGCAGCATCGGGTGATAAGGATCAACCAGGACCTTCGTCACAGGATAGGAGTGATGGAAGCGCAGGGCAAGGCACTAATCCAGCAGAGGGCTGAGCTGCAGGCTGCGGCCCAGGCACGGCAGCAGGAGGTCGGGGCTCTGCAGCTGGAGGTCAGAAGGCTGAGAAAGGAGCTCCGAGACTGGGAACTGGAGAGAGAGATCTCTGAGATCGAAGGTTCCTCTCTTACAAAATCTGGAATGTCCCCACCTGCATCGCTACAGATGATGGTACAAAAAGAAAAAGCTTATCTTCAGCATTAATATTATTAGGTTTGAATTATTTTTGACTCATTAGATCTGGCTGGTTTTGTAGTGTGTAAGTGCCTGTCTTGTGCGAACTCCAGCCCTCAGAGGCAGCACCACCCAACATCATCAAACCAAAGTCAGTGTGGGTGGAGTGTGGAGGGGACCCTGGCTTCATGGCAAACTGCTTTGAGCACGACAAGAGTCCTTCCATCCTCCGGAGGTCATCTAACAGAGAAAACAACGAGGAAGAGGGTGACGAAGATGAGGAGGCGACAGCTTTGTTATTGGTAACATCTGCCTCAGGTCTCCCATATATACAGTGTTACTGTACAGTGTGTTTATAGCACAGGTCCATTAATTGACTGTTAAACACAACACAACATTATATCTTATTAAATCATATAAATCCATGAATCTGATTTATTAAACATTTGTTTCAGTAAAAGTAAGGCAGTATCCATTGTTAGAGGCAAAGTTTTAATTTGTTTGTGAGCAGGATTACTCAAAAAGTACTCAACTGATTACCACAAAACTTTCATAGGGGGACTGTTGGGCCTTTTAGTTCCCTTCTAGTTATTCATCATTATCAAATAACATTGTTCACAATCATTGTGTGAGGAAAAAGCTCAGCTATACCCATTTCTTTGCTAGTGTCACATTGTGTCCATACTGTGCTGAGAGAAATGGTCAAATGTGATTTGGCTGCAGAAGGTGCCAGCTGACACAGAGCTGGAGGAGCAGAGCGACAGCCCGGAGCAGGAGTCAGACAAACCTCGCTTTACTCTGCAGGAGCTGCGGGACGTCCTGCAGGAGAGGAATGAACTCAAGGCCCAAGTGTTCGTGCTTGAGGAAGAGCTGGCGTATTACAAAAGGTCTCTTTTTGTTAAATTCATTAAATATTACATAACAAAGATGGCAAGAGATAACGCTCACCCCTTCCATATCCCCTCAGTGACGACTCTGAGGATGACACCAGCCCCTTTGTTTGTGCTTCACCTCCTCCACCATGCTCCAATTCCACTGACCAGCCTGAATCAGGAATCCGGCGCTTGTGAGTAATGAGTTTGACATGACACACATTTCTTCATTTACAAAGGTTCACCTCTCTGCCCTGTTTTTCTTATGTGACTCCATTTATACAATGTGCCACCACGATGCTTATTAAAAACATCACCAGTTAAAACTTAAATTCGACAGCAATTAGTAAATCAGATATCACTGGTTTAGATTTTGTGGGAGATGTTGATAGTGAGCGTCACTGTGGTTGACTGAGGATCACAAAACATTACACTGATCAACGTTTCTGATGCTTTTTGTGATTTTTGTCTGACTCACATCTGCTGTGTCGACCCTTTCCCCGTGTTCCTCTCTGGACAGGATCTTCACCGCCATAATGCCGATGGTGGCAGCTGGTTTGATCACAGACGATCCCACGTTGTTGCCAATCAGACGACTTTCCTTTGTATGACTGTAAATTTATAGTCTCCTCATATAATTGCTCATATTTTCTGCCTCCAGTTTGTTTCTCTCTGTTTGCCAGCAGACATTAATAACAATTGGTTTAGTTGCTGCTGTACTTGTTGATTTTTAGACCAAATCTGGTCTGATTTTAATTTGGAGCTTAAAATTGAACTGCATTGATAACCTTCAATTTTAGTTTGTTCATTTTTTGCCATGGATTTTGTTAAGCACTTCGTAACCTCGTTAAGATAAGTGCTATACAAATTAAGTTATTATTATTATTATTAACCTATGGTTTATACAGTCCAAATTGTGATGAATGAACCACTGTTACATTTTGGTAACATTATCGCTAACTTGGTCAAATGAACCTAAGTAGCAAAAAACTAGATAATGGGCTCAACCTGGACACTTGTATGTATTCATGACCTCTGAGGTTTTAATGGCTTTATAAAAAGTCACAACCTGTCAATGCGCCACTTTATTTAAACAATGAATTCAGTGTTCTCTCTACATCACTTGCTCCCGGCACAGAAATTGTTTACTTGTTCTACATAATAATGTATAAACTGGATTTTTATAGACTCCAGCTGCCATGAGACCTACAGAAGGTGATGGGACATGTAGTGTCATGTATGTGCAGGTGATCTTAACATGTATTTGATGCCAAAGTATTGTCAAGTTGTTTGAGTCTGGTTTCAAGATTCAGTGAAATTGAGCTACAAAGCTACGTTCCTCTGTTTTCCTCCAAAAATAGTTTGTGCTTTGTTCGTTTATCGTTATCTCTGCCAAGGCTATGTTTTTATGTTATGTTTGTTTGTTTGTTAGCAGGATCATGCAATAAATATTAAACAGATTTCCAAAAAACCCAGTGAAAGGATGGGGAAAAAGAAAACTATTTAAGATTGATTGAGAGGTAAATCCAGGATTTTTAAATTGTTCTTAAACAATGTTTTCTGTCAAATAAATAATTTATGTTATCAGAACCCTTTTCTTCTATATTTCTATTTTAAAAACTAGACAATCATGTGTATTACTGTTGGGCCATAGCAGAGGTGTGTGCTCTACTGGGTGCAATTCTAGTTATACATGACATTTCACTGTGTTTTAATAGCATCAAATAACTCATTAAAACCATACTTACCAGACAAATGAACACATCAAACATCAGTGTGCTAAGAAATGCCTTAATGACAGACAGTGAGTGGACAGGGTTTATGACCTATACTACAACCACCCATCAGGTGGCAATGGAGACATTTTGGCTTCACCTCTGGGGAGCTGTCATGTCGTCAATCTTTACGTACAGACTATATGGTTTACACTGGTAAGATAATATTGTTAAAGCCTCAGAAGAAATATGTTCCAACATAAAACGTGTCCCAGCCATCAGTAAGTACATCTGTAAAAGAATGTTAGTTCTGAAATAAAGTTTTATTGAACTTTATTATTGCGTATTACACTGTGTATCAAATGCATGTGCCCAAGACAATTGTGCTAGATGTAGTGTTTTTATGTCATAATTTTTACTTCAAACTTTGCATTAGGAAAGGGGCAGATCTAGGGGTGGTGTCAGGTGGACACTGGCCCCAGTCAAAAACTGACAGGGGTCCCCTAAAGCCCCCCTGTCCTGTCAGTAGTTTTTACGTGCACACTGTGCTTGATCAATGAATGATTTTCAAAATATATTCAATGATGTGTGGCTTTGCACAAAGCTACAGAGCTAACAGCAAACAAGGAATTACACAAACATGCACATGTACCTTATATACATGCTACTGCACATTAAAGTGAAATTTGTGTTTATGTTTCAAACACTTATGTTCAAAAGTTATTTTCTTTTGGAAATAGTGCGAACAGTCGTGACATGACCAGTGCAGTATTTCATTTTATATCTTTTATCAGAATATCTCCTTAATCGTGTCACTCTGACAAATATGAACTGAAAACTGAGAGAAATAAAACAGAAGACGAGCACGTGCTCTCTCACCTGATGGAGGAATATCTCGATCTGATGCAGAGAGGTGAACAAACTGAGAGCTGTCACTCTCACACTTCACTCTCTCGCTCTCTGCACCGAGAAAAAACAGGAGTCCCGGGCTCCTGCGGGGGGAGAGTGGAGGGAGAGTGGAGGGAGTCCTCTTGGCCCGCAGACGATCTTTGTGCTCACCTGTCGCTAGGATACTTTGCCCTCCTCTGAGTGACGCCATCGGCGGATGAGTGATGGGGGAAGTGCGGATCCTCTGGAAGTCGATCACCTTCTCCTGCCTGAGAAAAGTTCTCGTCGCCGGCTCAAGCAGACACAAACAGCCCGGGACGAGGCGCCGGTGGAGAGAAGTTAACTTTCACCACGTCGACTCGTCACTTCCGTCATGGAGTTCGGTGAAGAGTCGTCTCCCGCTCTGGCTTTCGAGAAGGACGCGTTCGATCTGACGGTCGAGGACGTTTACGACATTTCCTACGTGATCGGCCGGGATCTGTTAAAAGTCAGCCGCACGGGAGACGAGGTGTCGGACCTGCAGTTCCGCATTGTCCGCGTGTTGGAGATGTTCGAGACCCTGGTGAATAAGTACAACCTGTCCGTGGAGGAGCTGCGAATGGAGCGGGACAACCTGAAGAGGGAGCTGGACAGGGTGGTCCAGGAGAGATCCTCCGGCCAGGGCACGGTGAGGGTCCGCCGAGTGGCAGCCGGACATCAGCTCACGCAGGTCTAACACCGTGTATGATTCCTGTCCCCTGTGTTTTAAAGCAAACAGCGGGGCCCAACCAGCTGGTGGTGGACCTGACGGACCCCAACAGGCCGCGGTTCACCATGCAGGAGCTGAAGGAGGTTCTGCAGGAGAGGAACCAGCTGAAGGCTCAGCTCATGGTGGCTCAGGAGGAGCTGCAGCTCTACAAGAGGTGAGCAGCTGAGCCAGCTTCAATTCAAACACGTCATTCAGTCTGTACTTTCCTTTTAGTGAACTATGCCACGTCTCATCCACCCACATTTACAAACCGATCAGAGCATCTTGCTATGGTGTCATCTGATAAATCACTGCACCTCAGTAAGGGTCATATGTCAGGGTGGGATGCAGGCCTGTTATGTGGTGCTACAGGAGATTGTGATTGTGAACCTGTGAAAATGTTAGTCTGGATTGTGCATCTTGTTTTGAACTCATCAATTGATTACACAATAAGTAGAAGAGCAATCAGAGTTCATACCTCCGCCAAGGCCCAACTGTCCCCTCATGAACCCACATTTAAATTCACAAGATCTGGATTATTATTTTGATCTGCAGCACATTTCACACACTCATAAATAATTGTCCTGGTTGTTTCCATCTAGGTCAATGAGCTATTCTCTGAGACATCAATGAAAAACCTCATGGTCATCTCTCATTGTTTGGGAAAGTGAAAATAAAAACCCTGATCCAGATCTGCACCCAAATCTGATTGATTCCTCCTTTGGTCATGACCCTCCCCTCCACATACTTCCATGGAAATCAGTCGAGTTGTTCTTGTGTAATCCTGCTAACAAAAAACCATAACCTCATAGGTCAAGGTGATTAGCTATAAAATAAGTTCTTGTTCAATGGACTCTTAATATCCAGTATTATCCAGCTTGTTAGAGACTTATACTGTATATTTGTGTAAATACAGGCATAACTAACTTGTAGTAAGTACTACAACACTACTACTAAAATAAACTTCGAAAAAATCAGCCACAGTTCGGTACATTTTTTGTAAATATCAGCAGTAGAACTGCCCAGTTCTGACATTACACAGCTCAGATTTGCTTTCAACTTCCTGAATAGCTTCAACTCAATAGGGCTGACTCCGTCAACTCAAAATATTCTCGGTAATCATAAATCTGTAATTTCCTCTGGAAGTCAACAGATATGGTTTGACCACGGTTGATTGCAGATATATTAATCTGTTATTTTGTTGTACTGTTGTTTTCTTTTTATTATTTTTGCATCTGATAAAATGCATTTTAAAAACAAATGACAAAAAAAATGCTCACAAACAAACTCTAACCCTGGACCTTTTCTTTTTTAGTTTTGTCAATCAGGCAAAAATAAGACGACACTTTTCTCAAATGTAGAGGACAAAAAGGATATGTGGGTGTTAATCAGCCTTGTAAGTGCAGGCATAGGCCATAGCCGTTGATGTTTAAATGCCAGATATTGTCCTGATGAATCAGCTGACCGATTTTTAAAAAGACCCATCACTCCTTTCTTCCGCAGTGGGATCCTTCCACAGGCTGAACCAGCCATGGTGGAAGTGGATCTAAAGACAGAGGCAGCCACAGAGCACAGTCCAACCGAGATAAATGATGTAAAAGAGGAGAAGACGACCATAAGCAAACTGTGAGTATCAGGCTGGAGTCCTTCCGTGAACACAGAAATATCAATGTGCACACTAAAATAAAGTTGTGAGAAGAAATCACAAAGAGGCACCGTAACGCAATTATAAGATTTGTGTGTAGTAATACATTATTTTAAGCTGTACACCTCTGATGGCAAGGTTTCAAGAATATTTAGTGCAGCAACCACATGATGCTGAAGTGAGCTAAGAGGAAGATTGTTCTCACAGGCCGTCTCCTGGCTCCTAATGATTTACTTGTGACCAATTGAATTCATGCTGATGCTGAGGATGTTTGTGGGAGAGAGAGACAAGCTGGAAACTGGGAGTGTGTCTGCCAAACTGCTGTCAGTAATTACAATCTGCCGTGACTCAATGTTTCTTTTTTGTTTCTCACCCCGGCCACTTTTACCTCAACGTTCCACGTTCACCCACCAGCAGCAGCAGTAGATCCATATACGAGCCGCTTAAACTAACCAGGCTTTTTCTTTTCAGGTTTTCATTCAGGCGAAAATAAGAAAAACCTTTTCACACAAACGGACCACGTAGAGGACAAACAGGATTTGTCGGCACAGTTTTTCTCATCAGTTAACCACTTTTATACTGAAGATTTTTTACTATGTGTATTTGTCAGTCTAACAAGCACTGTGTTTTATACTGGTAATTTTAACCTGAGATTGTTTATGTAATTAGAGTATTATATATATTATTTGAAACGTTTGATGAAGGAAATGAAACTGGAAAGTATTATCTGGCTGCTGATCATGTTGATGTTGAATGCATTAACCTAAAAATTAAATTATCTGTAGGCTTGAAATTAATTTGTTTAATCTCTCACTCTCAATGTCACTATGAACTCAGCTGTCAAACACAGGCAGGAGGACCCCCACCCACAAAACATTAAAAATAATCATTTTAATTCATTTGAACTAGTATGGTTTTTTTCACACAGGTTAAATATTTAATAACTTTGCATGGTGTTACAGGTTGTACGTCCCCAGGACAAATCACAAGGCACACACACTGGTCACGAACTACAGCATCACATGATGTCATGCACGTTCGTGCCACAGTAACGATGAGTTAAAGGTTTGACAACAACTGATAATTGACTGTTATTCAAGTCCTGAGCCAGAATCCTAATGTATGACTTCTCTGTGTAGATGTGTTTTGATTGGATGAATTGAGCAAAGAGGAGCCAGATTTATTCTGATTCAATTTATTCTTAACGTGCTTCAATACTAACTATATCTGAATCATACTCATTGTTCTGCTTTGACGCTGCAGATAACTTGTTGCAAAACGGAACCAAACTCTAAGCTTTGCTGCACATATCTAACTCTACTAGCAATGTTTCTGCAACATAATGTGCATTTCTGTAGCGCTGGCATAGAGACAGACATGTTGGTAGGAAAAAAAAACACAGTGTAGAGTCATTTTTATAATTTACCATAGCAGTGCTCCAGTGGCTAATAGATTTAGACTCATAGTACATAACCATGTCTGGATGTGACTTTGAGGCAAAAGCAAACAATGGAGGAGGGTGTCATCTTAGAGCGCCATAGTTACCTTCACCATGGAGGTCATGTTAACCCTTCCATCAGTGCGTTTGTCAGCAGAATACACAAAACTGGGAAGGATGTGACATGAGCAATGAATCATCCCATAATATTTTGAGGCAGACCCAGGAATTGTCCTCATGTTCTTGAACACTGAGAGATAGGGTGTTATTTATTTAGTTTTCACAGATTTCACAGTGAATAAAAATGGCATGTTAAGGGGACTGATATTTACAAGTGTGTATAATTTGGTGCAGATCCAAATAAAAATTGATTAGAAGTGTGGTTTTATAAGGGGACTGTTGGGCTCTAATGGCTGCCACTTGCAAGTAGTTTTTAGTGCAGAAAAGAAATTATTTGATTGTGTAGCGTCGGGCAGAGCTAACAACAGCAAACTGGTAATATTGCATACTGGAAAGTCCCACAAATACAATGGCGACGTGTAAAGTATGTCAGTGCCAAGTTCTGCGGGGTGTTTTCTCCTGTCAAACTGGATGATAAAATTAGTTCTGAAACATTGATTCTCTGCATGTATTTGCTTTTCAAAAGATTTCACCTGAGCCAGGCCAAACACTGATAGCAATCATCACTTCCATACAGGGTTGGTAACACGCAGCTGATAAAATACATCTCATAAGCAAAGTATTTTAAATGCACTGGTATCGGCCAATAAGTAAAGTCCAGATATTGGTATCAGGAAGGGAGAACTGGTATGGACATTTAATATTTTTTTCAGATCTTCACCATTAACTATGTCACAGCTGGAAAGAGATTCAACTGTTTATTCCTCAATTTACAGCACAGGTAATAATTTACAATCCCAGAATTGGATAGTCAGAATTATATTCATTACAAAAGGATCTGCTACATGTCCAGGAGAAATACTCTTGAAGCTTAAATCTCTCTGCTACGAGATAAGAAAAATATAAAACAATGATTAAAAACAGTTGTGGCAAAAATACATGTTTCATAAGTTGAAGCTTTAGCCTCCAATTAAAACAAAATCCTTTTTTTATACTTAATAAAAAAGCATGTGGAGGACTGCTCATCTATAGGATCTTTTACAAAAAGACCAACAGGACAGCAGTGAGCACCAATTCATCTCAAATACAAAATCTTGTGGTCAAAGTTTCAGTGTTTGAGCCACGGGTGAGCCGAGATGGAGGCTTTACTCCGATCACCGTAGTCGTACAGCAGCTCCTCCTCAGCCTCGATGTCTCTGGAAGCCACCAAGATCAGATGGGGTGTTCCGTCGATGTCGTGAAGCTTAGTCTGGCAGTTGCCGGTTTTACTGTGGTTAATTAGTCTTCCAAGACGACTTGTTTCCTTTGTAGCGTCTACACTGTAATAGATCGACACAAAGATGAAGCTATTAATATAACAAGGTGTCCACAGTACAAGTCAGACAGAGAAGGAGGAATATCATTTTCAAGTTTACTGTAAACTTTATGTCGGGAACTTTAAAAAAAAAAAAATTGTATTAATATGTCCGCCCTGAGAGACTTGTGATCAGAGTCGCTCTACATGCAAATCATCATTCTGTCCTTTGTGCTCACAAAAACCAGATGACGTTGTTTTTAGCCAGTCTGAGTTTACAGATGTGTCTTATGACAATGTCTGTGTGTCAAGAGAAAGAGTGAGTGGAGTCAGGAGGGGCTAATGAATGCGCAGCTCTGCTATCAATCATTATGTGTTGGTCAGTGTTTATCAACTGAAGCAGGTCAGAGGACGTCAGCTGAGTTGGCGGTCCTTCATGTGGCCCAGGACGCATCAGCATTTACACAGTGAAAAGAATGTCGCCACATTTTCCCTCATTACCTCCCGATTTGTTCTGAATGATCAGATCTCAGGACACATTTGGGTGCGTCCAGCGCTACATTGGCTGCTTGTGACTATGTGTCGATACTCTTTCAACTTACCAGTAAGTTTTACATTGGTATTGGAAGTAGTACATGTAACAGCCTGTTTGGGGATCCAGAGCATACTGAGCCTCTCTCAGTTTAGCCTCAGCTAGTTCCAGCAGGTCTCCATGGTACTCCACAACAAACTCTGCCTTTTTGAAGCTCCGGACAGCAAATACTCCTCTTCCTTTTCCTTCTATGTGTTTGACCTGTAAACATTCAGAAGCAAATTAAGTGGGAAGCTTATCTACTAAAGATGCAGGAATTGTTTTACTACTGTATAAATACATTCGTCACAAAAGAGATAATGAGAATTTACAGATGACATGAATTCACACAGTGCTCTCCACGTAGCATGTTCCTGACTAAAGTGGCAACATTAGAAGAATCATTAAATGTCACCTGCATTCCTTCCTCAGTGCCGTTCTTTATCAGGTCATCAATGTATCTGTGTTCTTCACTCTGTTGACAGACAGTTCCAAAAATTGGGTCAACGTTAAACATTGTGGTACAGTGGCAAAATATTTATATACACGCTTTTACACACAAATCAAAAACTAAGACTCAAAAAGAGAAATTCAGTTATTGTATTTGATTAAGTGTTAACACAGATGGTCAACCCTCTTTATAACAACATTTTTCATACAAACCTTTAACTCTGCTTTAGTTTTTCTGTTACTTCGTCTGATAGGATAATAGTCGGTGACCTTTCTGTTTTGAGGAGCTTTATTTTCCATTCTGAAAAAAACAGATATGATCAAATGATGAGAGATTATGATTGAGTAACTAGACCCTGTCTCGTGTCTGCCCTCCACCCCCCGACACTGATATTGGCTTTGTGCACTCACTTTTTTGCTCCGTGTTTGTGACCGGCTCTACTCCGAGGTTTGAATGCTGAACTTTTGCCATCTGCTGCAGACCTGACCTGGTTTGCATGCGCGGTGGGCTCTATCTGATCAGGTTGTTCAGCGAGCTGCTCTCTGGTCCCATGACTGTCAGAAGGCATTTCTGGCTTCTGCTCTTTGGACTCACTACGCTGACATTTCATTTCTTTAGGTACATCTAAAACAAAAAGAAAAAGAATCAAATTGAAAGCTGCCCTAACTATTTAGAGAGTGACACTCCTTCATAATCGTCATAAAGTCAAGTTGTGTCAGAAGATAGTACGTCAGCAAACGCTGCTACCATTCACAAGCGTGGGACAGTGTTCTGAGGCACACAACGATCTGCTGACCAGACAGGGTTGGAAAGAAAAAAGGAGGCTAGGAGATTACATGTAGTAGAAATTATCTAAAAAACACTTTTCAAAATAGTTGATTCATTTTTTTTTTTTAAAGATAATTAGGTATTCACCTTTTTTCAGCTTTGACACGTCAGGATTAGCCGCATCAGAATCATTTCCTTCCTGGATCAGCATGCTTGAATTGTCACCCAGAGGGGATCTAGGTTTGGTTGGACTCCGTAGACTCTGAAAAATTGACTGAACTTTACCTACGGAATCCTGCAAAAAGAATTATTATTTACCCAGATGAAGAGATATATAGATGAATTGTCTGGTTATATAGTGCAGCAAAAAAAGATGCCGAACATTTTTAAAGTTGCAGATGAAGGCAAAATCATTCAAAAATGATATATTCTCAGAATTCAAAGGGTCAGAAAGCAGATTGGAGGCAACAGAAAATAGCTGATGAAGGCTTTATCGGCCTGCCTGTCATTTCCAGCTGTGAGTGATTCCTCTCCATGGTAACAGTACCATGGTAACAGTACCATCTCAGATATATTAGAGTTGCTGAATATATTAATGAAACAGTGATCAAGTGGCCAACTATTGCTGCTTGCACAGAAATTTTGAAAAATGTGAACTTTCTGTGGCTGCATAGATGATAATTTCCAAACCTTTTAGCCAACCATGAATTAATCTTCTACAGTGTTGGTATGTGTGATACAGCCAAAAATCATAAAAGGGACACAAATGTCCAGTGTCACGATATTATTATTTAGGCTCCTTAGTGAAGGTTGTGGTTTGAAACTCCTTCTCATGTAAAAGCAAATGACAAACAATTGATAAACAACAAGGCATCTGATGTAGATCAATCATGTTACACCCATAGACTGTATATATATATATATATATACTGTTACACCTCATCGCTGTACTTACACAATGCATTAGCTTTATACAATATCGGACTAGTGCTACATTGCTATTGATGGGATTTATTGATACCATCTTGTTGCCCAGCTCGAATGTGCTGCTCACCACTTTATCCAGTGACAATGAATCACAGTGTTTACATCTCATAGCTGCAGCACTGTTTATATGGGTACACTTGATTTAGCCTGAACAAAAGTCATAGAGAAGCTGTGCACAACCTGATGTTGGGTTCCCCTGACATGCTCGTGTCCGGGTAACGATAAGAAGCTTCCTGTTGTCAATAAAGTTCCTGACTGGAGATTATATTGGTCGCTAAACTGAGGCAGGAGCGTAGTTGCAGGAACTTTAGCACAATGTCTAAAGAGCAGCTTGTATTCTGTTGATTGATCTCGTTAACATGAAGAAGCATCGCAGTTAAACCGAACAGTAAAGCTCACCTTGTGTTTCGCAGCTGGTTTGTTTTCTTTTGTCCCCTCCCCTGAAGCGACTTGGTGTTCAGCTCTGTCCTCGGGCTTTACGTCGGTTCTCTGCAAGAGTTTCTTCCCTTTAAAAACACGGAAACACGGAAAGATAAGCTGCTGTCCGACTCACACACCCCTGCACACCAGCGGGTTTATTTATAACCACCAGCTGCGTTTTATTTCAACAAAGTCGACCCTCCAATTAGGCTAGCTAGCATTAGCTGTTAGCACCACATTAACTACAGCTGTGCGTTTGACACAAGCGGACACCGAAACGTTGGCGCGTTGTCAAAGTTCACCTTTTGCCATGTCAGTCATGAAAATAAAACCCAAGAGGACGAGGAGTGAGTTCAGCGCTGCCTCAGTTTTAAATCCCCCGTTCCTGCATCGACTGGCATCGGGGAGCCGCTGTGGAGAGGCTCGGTGCGAGCGTGGAGGATTTAAAAACCCTACGGCTGCTCTGATTGGCTGTTAGGCCGTGACGGGAGGAGCGCGAGCATGACAGCGGCGCTCTCATTGGCTGCAGCTCAGCATTAACAGTAAAAGGGAGGCTCTCGGAATTAATGAGCATTAATATTATAATACTCAGACACATTAGAATATTAGAAAATATCAATGTTTTGGTAAAGGCTCAACTGGCAGTTTATTAGCTACACCTAGATTTGAAGAGCTGATTCTATTATGTTGTCCACCCCACTCAAATCACCAAGGGTAAATAAAACAGAACAATGGTTGATTTCAAATTTAACCAGATACAAGAAGTCTCCTACATCCCTGAATGTATGTTATCAGTATATTTGCAATACAGGCTTCAAGTTTCCATGTCCCATTTGAATAGTGGGGAGAGAGACACCCGGAACAGTTGTGCTCCATCAGGTTTCAACTCTGACAGACTAGTATAATGAAATCAGTAAGAGTGATAATTATGGATGTAAAGATGTTATTATGATAGCAGCAAGAGTTCATATCGTAAAAATAATAGTTGTTATCTGAATCCTGCAGCTTTTTTATTTTCAGCAGATCACTTTAAAAACCTATCAGGAGACTTGATGAAATGAAATTGAATGTTAATCTAAATCAAACCACACCTAAACGTAAATGCTGTACACTGTACCTTAAGCACATACCCTTAATATTTGTGTGGTAAACATACTTCAAAAGAGAAAAAGTATCAAAATATGCACTACACATCACCAACTTATTTTTAAGCAACTTTTTATTTTTTTATTCTCCATCCTTGGCTTTGCATGAAAGATGCTAAAAACAAATGGCTTATTTGATTGGATTTACTATTTACTCTTTACAGCCATAAAATATATTGATACATTCACATACTCGTGTCTTCTTAAATTCTACAAATAAATATTTTACTCTTGTGTGGATTCTGTACCCAGCGCTTCTTTAAACAGTCTTTTCCTCTCCAGATTCTCATGTGCTTTCTTCTTCTTCTCTTGTTTCTTTAGCACAAACTCCTTCTTCTTAACAAGCACTTCACTCAGTTCTCCTTTATATGCAACATCAAGTTTCTCTCTCATGATTCCACGGGCACGCTTTCGATTTATTTCCACAGATCTGGTTTGATGACACTGAGGGGGACATAGTACAAAAACAAGAAATAAACATAGTAAATCACATATCTTTGATTGTCACAAAACTCACACCTGGGCCAGACTATAGTGCTAGACCAGGGGCTGGGCACATTATTATTACTATACACATGTGTGATATACATATCCCCTTTAAAGTTTCAGTGTGTAGAATTGAGAGACATCTCGTGAACATGACAGAGAACCCGTGGAAGCCTTCAGTTGTCATAAAAACTCAAAAGGTGTTTAGATTGTCCAGTCTGGGCTACTGTAAAAAACATGGCGGCCTCCGTAGAGAGGACCCCCTCCAGATGTAAATATAAAGTATTTAAATGTCAGGGCCTTTGTTTGAGGAGACCACTGGATGTACCTTCACTACGATCCCGGTGGGGACGTGTTTGAGCACCACACAGTTGCTGGTCTTGTTGGTGGCCTGTCCTCCGGGTCCGGATCCTCTCACGAACTGCTCCTCCAGCTCGTCTTCGTCCAGGACAGGCAGGTCCACCAGGTCCTTTTTACCGGCCGCAGACACACATGGGAGTCCAGGGAGCGGGTTCAGAGGGAGGGAGACACCGGGACACCCCCTCCTCCATAGGACCCGTCTGGACACTGATGTGATGAGCGGGACAAGAGACATTTGCTTCAAGCGGAGCGACTGACCAACGTCATTACATCAGGTTGTACGTCATCAAACAGATGAGCTTTCTCACCGGTGACGTATGTCCACACAATAGTTGCTGTGGTTATATTCTCAGTCTGTCTCGTTACATCAGCGTGCTATTGTTTTTTTTCCGGTCACGTCTTCTTCTACGCTCCCGTCAGTCGTGTCAGCCAATCAGTCACCGCCTGTTTTCTTCGTGGCCGAAATAGCAGTTTTGTGGTCGACTCTGCCGCCATCGTGTGTCAGAACCAAACTATAGCAGGTTTTTAAATTCTACAAATATTTGAAGATCCACGTTTAAAGTTTGACTTTGTTTAAAGGCTTCTTGTGGCAAACACAATAAAAGACGTAATTCTGTGTGGAAGTTGGAAAATAGATTATACTGCAGGTACATGAAATCCATGAAAATACAAATATAATAATGCAGGGACATGAAATCTATGAAAACACACCTCTTATATTGCAGGGACATGCTCAGGTGCTGTACAACCTTTATTTATACTTGATAAATCTTTCAGTGGGTGATCCTCATATAGAATAATATCTAGTCAAATTACATTTCCAAAATTAAATTAAAATAAATCCTTTCTTGAGTGGGTGTTAGAACATTTTGAGGGATCAAGATTTTTCAAATCCAAAGTAAAAAAGATGACTTTGCAACCTTCAAATGTTCAGTGTGTAGAATTTAGTGATATCTAGTGTTGAAATCACATGTTGCAGCTGAACACCTCTCACCTCACCCTCTCCTTCCAAACATGAAAAAGAACCTGTGGTAGCCTTGAATTGTCACAAAAACTCAAAAGGTGTTTAGTTTGTTCAGTCTGGACTTATGTAAAAAAACATGGCAACCTCCGTAGAGAGGACCCCCTTGATGTAAATATAAAGTATTTAAATATAAAGGGCCTTTTCTGGGGTAAAGAAAACTATAATTCAAATAATTTAGATTAAATGAACTAGTGAAAACATCACAAGGATTATTCTACATTAAATTTCTGCCAATAGTTCCCTTTCACCTGAATCTTACACACTGGACCTTTAATTGCCAAATTAAATTCAGTTACTAGACATTACAGTTGAAATAACTGGGCCCAAAAATGTAAAGTAAAAATACAGTACTAGTAATACAAACAATTTCAAATAGAAGTTGGTAGTTTTAAGATCAGATTTCTAAAGTGTTCTGTGAGCAGGTCCTTCTAGTCGACTTTCTGGAAGCTCTGTGATGGTACTGAACTATCATCAGCTGTAAAGGAAACCTGCTGCAGACGCCCTTTCTGTTGCTTGCTGTAGATTTTACATTCATCATGTTGTTTGTTCACGTGTTAAAGCAGATGCATGATAGTATCAACAACCTTCTAGAATTATATGATGTTCCAATTTCAACCGATTTTACACTGTGGCTCTATGTATTGCTAACCTGTGATGTGCATATAAAAAAGCTCTATTCATAGTCTCTGGATATAATGTATTCATGTGTGACGCTGGTAGTTGTAACTGATGCTGGTGATCACAGTTTATCTGCAGTGGATGATAGTTGGATTTTAAAGTCATTAACATTAACAATGGCTCTGTTCTGTTCATTATCACAGGAGGAGCCAGTAGAGCCTTAAACCAAAGCAAGTATTTAATCTCTTCCTGAAACATATAAAAATCTTCCATCTCTATAGGTGAAATTCAATTATTTACTTTTATACATTTTTTAATTTTGATTTCATTGTTGTTTTATCCTCTTGTGAAGCACTTTGTAACATTGTTAAGAAGAGTGCAATATCAATGCTATTTTATTATTTTCATTATTATTTACCAACCAACGTACAAATCTGCATTTGACACTGTTTGGACTCTCTGATCATACGCAGAGTTTCTTGGGACATGTTTGTACTTTTTCTATCGTGCAAACTTGTCCTTTTAAAAGCCATGTTAAAGTTTATGGTTAAAATCAGTTACGATTCCTGCAAACTCATGATGAGCACAGCCTCCACGCTCCATGAAATGACACATTCACATTACACAACAGTCTCTGTTAACACACGCACCACATTAGATCTTTGTGTTGTAGGTTCTGCAGGATCAGTGCAGGATGCCTGGAAAGGTGCGACTAACTCAAGGAAAAGTATTAATGTTCATTCAAAGCTATAAATACATTGATTGCAAACTAGTTTCACACATTTTTTCATATGGATATAATTAACAGAGTGTTATGTAACGCTTCCTCTTCTCTCCCTTGACGTGGACTATAATTATAGTAAATCAGGAAACGATGTAGGTCACAGGGAAAAGACAATCTCTCTGATGACCTGTGATGACATCTCACTGATGTCACTGCGGTTGAGGGGGGAGGTGCATTTCTAATTTCATGAACTTTATCTTTAGTGTCCACATTAAAACAGACCCTCCCTTTAGCACATTGTAACCTTGACAGTGTGATTCTCATGTGGTTGTTGCAAAAAAAAGACAAACCTTTACAGTAATGTTCAACCTGCTTTCAGTCCAGATCAAACTGTTTGATACATTTGTGGTATAAAACTAAAATCCCCATGTTCCAACGTCCTTCAAATTGTAAATTCAAGTATCTGTGTTATTCTTCCTTCTTTAACTGTTGTGACATTTTGAAAGAGGTCACAGCTGTAGTGTGGGTGGTGGCTGTTTGTCAAGAATCAAGAGTTTATGACTTTGTGGTGTATTCACATCTAGATCAGTGGCCATGAGGTGAGACATCAGACCCACTGCGGTGTGAAGTTCACAACAAGGAAGTGAGTCCTGGTGTAGAGAAGGGAACTGTTCAAAGAGACTCATCTGAGGTGTGGCAGCAGTAAATATTATATGAGATGTATAGTTGAACAATTACAAAAACTATACCATACTCTCTGTTTGTGTGAATTATGGAAAGGAGACAAGTACTTCAATGGTTGTTGTATTTACAACATTTTATTAAAAGAAATGTAAATACATTGTTTATGGTGTCAATATAATGGTAAGATGAGATGGTATTGAATTTATAAAAACAGTGTTGAGGACATTTTGATCAAAAAGAAACAGATTTCCTGTTTTTTGCAAAGTTCTTAGAAAATCTTCAGAGCAGGTTGTGAAAAGCCCTGATGAGAAATATGTGCACATTGTACACACATGTAGAATGTACAGTCAAAGTTGATGCAGTAAGTTATGACATCTATTCTGCGAACAATATTTAATTCACTTTGTCCCTGAGTTACATGATGAAGGTGAATGTGCAATATCAAAGCACATTTCAAATATGCACATGGCTGAATGTTGGCTCGTCTCTCTCTGAATGGCAGATAAATAACACAGCAGTCAGTAGAGATGACGTACGAGAGGCGGTGGCGGCTGTAATTTAGAACTTTACGTGCTATTACAATGTCAACGTCTGCGGAGATACGTGATGATCCCAGTGCACATCACATACTCCTTCACCAGCAGGAGGCGCCCCACTGTCGAAACTACTCCTCTGCATGTCTGTGCGGGTCTGAGCTTCGTCAAGTCCCCCAAAACAAAGACAAAACCGGAAAACGAGGGAGCAGTCCTTCACAATCAAATACTACTGATTGATTGTGCTGCTCTGAAAAAAACAGCAAAATGTTTTCTTTATTTGAGACTTGTGGGATCTGTATATAATCATCCCGCTACCAGAAGCGAAGTCAAAATATCCCTGATATGGACGCTGCCATTTTGTGCTGATGATGTCTTATGCACAGAAACATTCGGGGGATGGAGCTCGACCAATCTCAAGCCAGTCTCAGCTGTCACTCATGACGTTTTCACTCATTTTTTTTTTTTATCTAATGAGCAATTAAAACCACCCATTCATCTATTATCTAGACAGCTTATCCTTTTGTCGGTTGTGGGAGAGTCAATTTATTATCTCTTAACTTATTTTACAACATAGGACAGGATGTTGAATATCTCTTGTACGTTTGAATGTCTTCTGCACAATTTAAGTGAGCAACTACAAGTAGATGTTAGCGGATGTTAGGGACATAACTTCAGATGTGTACCTTATCGTCGTCAAGTGTTTGGGCCTTGTGATCAATCAGGGTACACTGAGGCTAAAGGTAAATCTGACTACTACTACTGGCTTGTAAGGGAGACATCCATGTGGCTCAGTAGATCATTACCTCTATTCCTTAGTAAACTAGTATTATCATTATTATAATCATAATAACAAGTGGTAGGCATTAATTAATACGGTGGAACATACAAGACATATTCTCCATCTTGTCCTATGTTCAATAAGGGGACAGGGATTAGTTCAAAATGATGAGGTAATGATGTCTGACCAACTGAGTGGGCCATATGGCTTTCATGATGCTGCCATGATAAATGATATATACATATATATATATTTATATGTAATATGATATAATTATTAATTATATCTTATTATTATTTATTTACTTATGTGTCTATCTACCCTTCTTTTGGTATAAGTTTTGTCACTAACATCTAATGTGGATCTCGTTAATTAAAGGTCCAGTGTGTAAGATTTAGGTGAAAGGGATCTATTGGCATGTAGAATAATCCTCATGATGTTTCCACTAGTTTGTTTCATCTAAATTGTATGAATTGTAGTTTTCTTTTCCCTAGAAAAGACCCTTTATATTTAAATACTTTATATTTACATCGAGGGGGTCCTCTGTACAGAGGCCGCCATGTTTTTTACATTGGTCCAGACTGGACAAACTAAACACCTTTTGAGTTTTTTTTGACAACTGAAGCTACCACAGGTTCTTTTTCATGTTTGGAAGGAGAGGGTGAGGTGAGGGGTGTTCAGCTGCAACACTAGAGATCAGTAAATTCTACACACTGTACCTTTAAATGTTCCTCTAGTGGAGGTATACACTGATGACAGCCGGTCCGCTCCCACTTTTATTTTGAAGCCCGCACCGGAAGCTTGGTGTGGCTGATGCTCTCTCGGCAGATGTCCGTCTGAAACCACTGTGGAGTCTCGCAGCGGCGCAGACTTGAAGAGACACAACTTAACGATGGCGAGTCGTCTTCATCCGTCCGCCCCTCGCTCTTCTTCCCGGTTCTCTGGACGGAGGCGACCGCTGCTGCTGGGCTGAGCTCACGGACCCCCCACCTCCTCCTCCTCCTCCTCGCCGCCGCCGCCACAGAACGAGCCGCCAGCCGCCAACTCCTGGAAGAGGCAGCCCGGAAATATTCAAGGACATTTTGACGTTTCCATAGCTACTCTGGCCTTTTCTGTCGCTTGAGGAAACCCAGCGTGCGCTTCTCCGGCGCGAGGATGTCGCCAGATTCAGTCAACGCGCCCAGGAACGGCGGCTGAAAGCCCGCGGAGAGAGAACCCAAACATTCCGGGGCTGGTGATGTTTGTCTACGCGTCATCTTTACATGTCGTACCCGCGCCCCTTCCCCTGCTGACGGGCCACACGCACACACCCTCACACACACGCACACTCACACGCACTCAACGGCCGAGAGACGGAAACCAGCGGCTGACTTCAGACGTGTTCGTGTCAGTGATGGCATCGCTTCCACAGCTCGAGTCGGCGGCTGCTTGGAGCTGAAGAAAACAACTCAACCCCCCCTTCACACACACACACACACACACACACTCACACACACACTCACACACGGTGCTGGTGAGAGCAGTGACCCGCAGAGAGAGCAGAGAGCGACCGTTGAACTGTGACTCTGAGCCGGAGTGAGCTGCTGGAGCCCGGGGAAGCTTCATCGGCGTGCGTCAGGTCCAGGTATGTGATGAGCACCGGGAGCCATCAGTCCGTCTTTACCGTGCTGCTGCCGTGTTGCTAGGTAACTAACTGACGGTGGGTTTACTCCAGTTCATTTAGTTTTATCATCATCATCATCCACTCCCGAGCATGCACCGCCACGTTTAGTGAAGGAACCGTTTCACCATCTGTCAACACCACAGCTAGAACTTTGCCTTCCTCCAGGGCCGGGCCTGGACATTTGGGGGCCATAAGCAGGATAAGTTTGGGGGCCCTGGATAAACCAGGTTCTATGACCCCCTTGAGCCAAACTCATAATTCATTCGTAACCCTACCTCGTACCCTGACGTGCACCTGCACATAAACTTCACTATGAGTCGAGCCAGTGCAGACAGTAAGAGCTGTGATTGGTCCGCTTGGTAGCGCCGTATCTCCAGCAGACCCGCCACCATTTTTGAATTCAGTTGAAGGAATGAACTCAGACGACATCTTCATTTTCTTCATTTCAGTTCTTTAAAAAAAAGTAATTGCATTTTATCAGCTCCAACTCCAACACGATCCACTTAGAAACGCTCGCCGTTGTTCTGAAGTAAACAGAGACGCCAGAGAATTTGTTATTAAGCCGACCAGAAACCGGCAGACGCCCAACACCAGCATAGAAACTCTACCGCCACTAACCTTTCAGCAGTGTAATTGCTGAGCGTCTCACACACACCTACATACAACTATGAATGCTCGGCCCTGTAGATAGTGCATAGGCACCTATGGCGCAGGATTGGTGCTGGACGTTCTTGGGTTTGCGTTCTACTCATGAACGAAACCCCGGGAGATTTTCTGCACACTGGGCGTGTTCAGGTGAGGAGTAAATGGTAAATGGTTGGTATTCATATAGCGGCGAGAGGCGAGGGATGTAATGTAATAATTCCACAGCACATCGACATCGGCCCAAAAGCTTTTAGACATCTTTGCCTTCCACATTTTCATCCTGAGATATTTCTTTTCTTTGTGTTTTTTGCATTCGTGGATCTGTCATGATTAATCCTGCACAGGATATCCTGCTGTTTCCTCACATGGGCTCATTCGGACATTCTCCTGAGTTTTTGCAAGGGGGCTGGGCGGAGAAACTTGTGCAGACAAAATTGCGGAGGCTCTCACTCTGAGGTTTGCGTTCTCACATACAGCTCCTCTCGAGAACGACCGGAGATTCTCTACAGCTCAGTGCGTGTCTGAAAGCAGCTTTACTTATTATAATTAAAACATTCACAAGGTCAATTTCTCTGGAACATCTTTAAATAGATTTAGCCTTATTGTTGCACATACAGTACATGTAATATAAATCATTACATTCTTTCACTTGTCAAAGCAAATGACTTTACGGGGCCCCTGGTGGCTGCGTGACATCTCAGTTGTCTTGTTGGGAGGGCTGGCTCTGTTGTCGCTCTGAAGTATATCTACATGTTGTTCATGCTCTCATGCTGTGGCCCTGTTGCTGTCACACTGACACAGACATGCTTGTTACAGCTGATGAAATGCTCCTCTCTCTTATCCCGACCCTACGCTCTTCTGATGTTATCACGCACAGCCTCCTATTAGCTGCAATTGCAGGAATCACAGGTGGAATTTTTTTCATGCTTCATGTCGTTGCCCTGTTGGTGCATGATTATCTTGAACCTCCTAGTGTTATCCAGGTGCAGGCACCCTGCTGCATGTTTAATATGATTTTCACTTCAAGCAGGAGGACTAAGAGGAAGAGCCCAGGTGTAGGATGCAGTCTAGGACTGGACGATATGGCTCAACATAATATCAAGATACAAAATTTCACACACAGCACATATCAATAACCACAATGAATGTCAAATGACTATTTCTGTTAAGTTCTATGACAGATTTTTTTCTCCTAAGTGAAGGTTATGGTTTTAAATTTGTCTTTTTGACAAAGCATTTTACAAATCCGAGGTTGATCGGTTGAGTGTTATACCTCCTCACTTATATCTGTTGAACTTTTGTTATATTGCCACTGATAAAAAATATATTGCGACAATTACCGATAAGTGGTTTATTGCCCAACCTGCATGTCACAAGCTTGTGTTTGTTTCTCCTATAGGCAAGGTTCTGTTTCAGTGTGACTTTATGAGTTTCAGCATCAAGTCATTCCTCTTGACTCAGCGGGGCCTGGGTGGGTGAGTCATTGAGGCTGTGCTGTATCGGATCAGTGCCGCCCAGATGATGGCTGTTGTACAAGGGCTGTTGTGACCCCTTGCTTTATTTTCAACAGGGAAGTTTGTCTTTAAAAACCTGAGGAGAGTTTTTTTAGATCTGTCTGTGCTATTGATCACCAGCCAGCCTTCAATAAGAACAAGTTCCAGCCTGCATGAAATGCAGAATACTTCTGATGAAAAAAGTTTAATCGTGTTGTTTCTGGGCCTGAAAGGTACTATAGCAATACACACGAGGTGCAGTTTCTTTTTGACATGTTAAAACTTGCGTGCTGCCTCCTGTACGCCGTAACGGTTGTCTGGATTGTGTAATCCACTCAGCATCAGCCGCTTTGTGATCTTGGCTTTGACAATTATATAGTAGCATGAAAACAGGAACTGGTAAGGTAAAGTTCATTGCAAGAGCAGTTTGCAAAAAATAGATTATGTGCGTTCTTTCCTGAGCTGGATTTTGGGCAACATGAATTTTTCTATTTTTGTTCCCTTCTGAGTCACTTTTAGTTTTTACTTTTAGAAGTGTGTTCCTCCTTTTTTTTTTTTAAACTGAGACTAATGATCAGCTGACAAAAGCTCTCGGTTCTCAGGATATACTTTCATGCCATTCATTTGTGTCACGAGGAGCTACAACATAAACACCCTTCCTCCGCTGCGGCTTGTTCTTCACTCACTTCCTGTAAGTGCTGCTCCGACAATTAAGGGCAGACTGCTTGAAAGTGAAGGCCATTGATTATGGCATTGTCTCTGATGACCGGTAATTCAAATGTTGCTTGTGGAAGGACGTGCTGACTTCTTTACCAGTCACACCTGTTATGACCTTGAACATACAAGGGCAGCTCCTCGAGATATTGGTCTCACCGTATTTCTGAAGCAAACTCACAAAAATATGGTACATGGACAGGACTGTGCTGCTAATCCAAATTTAAAAATCCCATTAGTGACTTTAACCTTTGGCAGAATCTGTTTCTCTTAATTGTCTTTGAATAGTTTATTTCTACAGTTTTCAATTCGGACACCTAGGCAGATACAGAGTACCGATCTGATACTAGTGCAATAAAACCACTTTTAGAACATATTTCAACAGCTGTATGCTACTAACCCTGTATGAAAGTGATTGCTATCATTGTTGTATGGTCTGGCTCAGGTTGTACTCGCTGATGCCTGACCTGGTATTTTTAGCAGTATCGGAGGCATTTCTAGTGCTGGTATTTGCAACATCTCTAATAGTTAATTATTTTTTAAACAAAGTTGATAGTTCACACTTGGCCTCAGTCCCAACGTCCTTCATTAACTGGGCTGTCAGAGTTTAGTTGACATCACCTATTTGCACATTGAAAATGTGTGAGTACATCAGTGCACCATAAGGAGGTGGACTTATAACCCTGTTTCATTACATTTTGTGTTCATTGGCAAACTATACCACAGTTAATTTGGCAACAATGAGTATGAACTCGCATGTACCTACACAGATTGTTTTGCCGTGATGTGTCTGTCCATATTCCTTCATGATTTATGTTTCATTCTGGTTCTTACCGCTATGAATTGTGGGTTCTTGCCTCAAGCAGGTTCCGTAGCATTGCAGACATTCAGAAAGGTGCATATAGGGCTGGAAAAGTCTTGAGTTCACAACAAGTTTCACTGATTTCACATTCTGCCTTATCCTTATGTATATAAATATACTCTGAGTATGTTTACAAGTGTGCGAGTGCAGACACTGGGGCTGTGCCATGCTGTTGAACAGATTTAACAAAACAACATGTCTAATCACTCTTCATTGGCAGCATTAGCCTCTTTTAATTCTTTAGCTTCTGTTTAAAGAAATTTAAATCAAACTGGTTGAGATTGTGCTAATGTTGAATTAGATTTGATGATTTGAGAGGTTTTAACCTTTGTAACCAATTCATTTCACTAGATTTCAAATACAAATATTGTAAAAATGATTTCTTGGAAATGAAGACTGGCAGCTTTAGCATGACCTGTTTATTTGTTTGACATGAGATCTGAAAGGGTTTGAGTTAAGTAGCTCTTTTAGAGCAGATTACCACTTTTTTTTACATTTTCAACCATTTTTCTTTGAATAAAATATGGATCTTGGTTAAATAAAAATCTGGCATATTAACTGATATCTTTGAGTGTGTGAAATTTGGTGCAGCTTGATTAAATCAAAGGGAAGTGTTGGTCCTTGGTGTTATGCTATATTTTAAATGAAAATGAACTTACAGCATTATGTTGCCTATAAGAAGATTTACTTTAAACTGGTTTAGACTACATTGAAGTTGAATTAATTTACATTATTTTATTTGAATTAATTGATAATATCACCCCCTCAGAAAAGTTCTCACTAGTAACCAAGTAATTTTACTAGATTTCAAATATTCAGTAACTATACATATAATGAGTTTTTTCTTGGAAAATCGAACTGCACTTTTATTTTCTGAGATTTATTGCCACTATGTACTTTCCTGTTGCAGTTTCTTAGTTCAGGGGTTGTTTTGTTTTAAAACAAAAAAGAAAAATACCATAGAGTCACATGCGCTGCACCACACAATGAAATCATTTTTTTGCCAGTCATCAACTGATACACATACACATCTGTTAAAATATTCACGCAGAGCAGCAGCAGCACGTTTGTCCGGTTTAGTTTGATAATGTTTTGTTGCATCCATGACAATGCACGGAATCTTTGAAGGAGACAGTAGTTGAGAGGCTGAAACCTGATAGCTCTTCATGTCTCAGGTGCCCCTGTTGAATCTAATACACCACACACAGTGTCACACTACAGAGTGCAGGTGATTATGAATTGGTCGA